AACGCAAACAATCTTCGTTTCTATTGTTCTAAAGAGTGATGTTCTACCCTCCACTGTAACAGGAAAAAGCTTCCGCTTTTTACAAATTACCATACACGATGATCCAACGACTTCTCTTGCCTCTCGAATTGCCTCCATCACATCAATGTGTGTTATCACTAGCTGTTCGGTTCTGTATGCAGCAACAATCACGGAGATAGAAACGTTTTCTGTAGATTACGCCCAACTAGTCGAATCATTTCAAGTAAGTTGCTACGATTCACAGCATTTCTTTGTAAAATAAAGTCAACATCAAATTCTTGTTTGAAAACTAGTAATTTTTTGAAGTAAATAACATTTTAACTTACTTGATACTTGATACTTGAACGGCCCGTCCTCACTGGTTGTGTGGGCCCCCCCCCCCATATTCTCCAGTTTTCCGAGATTTTCTGGCTAATCCATTGTGGTTTCCTGGCATCTCGAGACGAGTCTGGCCAAAGTCTGCTCCAGGTTTTCACCACCAGGCAGTCGCAGCAATTGTGGATCAGAGGGAGATTCGCCACAATGCGACTTTGATACCAGGACGGTGGTGGCAGGTATTGGTTTACCCTCAGCTAGGCTTCCTGATAGAAACGCCGGACTCCTTCTCAGCTTGGGTGACCTTGCCGAGGGGACGAATCATCCCACTTGTTCATTCTTCACGAGCGTCACATTTTTCAAAAGGTGCTTTGCTTGTTGGCGTAGATCGTCTGCTTTGAAATCCCGAGATAGCCTGCGAGGATGTCACCAATCGATAGCTACAGACGGCCACTAAGTTTCGTGCATTGATTGGAGTCTCTGTAACTTGCAACTGGACTTTTTCCCAACACGAAAAAAATCCTTGAAATAGGTTTATTCCTAGTGGAGCTAGTTTATATAGATATCGAACAACAAGTCGGTGTGTTACCTCAGATAGGAGAACTGCTTCTTACTGTGCTTCCTATTTTGACCCGATGAATATCCCCTACTATAAGGAAAAGGCGAGGCACTAAGGGTGGGCGTTAGCACAATCTTCCTTTATTAATTGTTGTTTAATTACTGTTTAATTGATAAGCCTATTTCGTGACGCAGCAGCAAATTTTCCGAGGTTGTGACACATTTTGGATCCTACAAAGTGGTGTGAAATTTAATGATATCAATAAGTTCTCTGTATAAATATATTCCACATAAAATGATTTGCAATATTTACTTCGACACATAAGCTGCACTTATTGCAGGAGATTTATACTGCAGCCCACGATGGACTACAGTCGATGGGAATAAGACGGACAAGAAGGAACGTTTATTACACTCTACCAAGACAAAGCTTTATTCAATTTGAACCAATCAGTGGTGAAAATAGTTTGCATGCGCCTCATAGACGACGTCTGAGCTATTATGAGCCAAAAATTTGCGGTATGTGGGCATTCCTATAAGAGGGCCATTTGTATCCGATACAGGCATTTTATGTTAAACTTCTTTGGAACCCCTCTCCTTTCTATGTAGTTACCTTTTCTCTCAATTTCTTCTCGATGGCGTCCCTAATCCATTTCTTATGTTCACCAATAAACAAAAATTTTACTTTTTTCCATCTATTTCAGCATTACTTTCTCGTCCCATTTTAAAATCTCACCCAGATTTGATGACAGGATTCAGCCACAATTGCCTCCGTAGAGTTACTAGACTGTAGGTGTCGTACCGACTTTGCATCAAACGTTTGGCAATCATGCGAGCCTTTTTATTCAGCTGCATCACCTCTACTGTTAACGGGAAATGTACTAAATGAATTGGATTCAATGCGCTCTATGAGAAAATGACTGTCAATTACTTACTTACATTTTCATCTTTAAACCAATCAACATATCTGGGATTATATTAGATTTCATCAGTTGGCATCAAAATTATTAAAATCAACGGATTTTTGCCTACAAGGTGCAAGTTATCGCATCCTACCAACTTGAAAGTCCGAATTTTCGATGCATATGTATTATTTTTGTTTTATTTATTTGTATGACCTATCTTCATGTCTACTGTGCGAATCCCAGCAATTCTCACATTCGAATCGTTTCATTGCATCTATTACCCGCGGAGATCCTCCAAATTTTACGTGTGGTTTCGGTTGCTGCTTCTGGATTTTCGTTTCATCTTGAATGTCGTAGAATGCTGGCTGAGCAATTCTCTTTGGAGTTCTGAGAAAACCCCGTTGGAGCACTCCCAATTAGAGTTCAGAGAGTGATTTTTTTCTAGATATGTCCGGTACCAATTTGCCGACCCCGGAGAGATGAGAGGCTTGGTTGGCCCGGAGCGGAATCGAACGAGAACCACGCTCGTGATGGCGGAGGTCACTACCACCGTGCTATCCACCCCTATATATTTACAGATATACACATGCAGGCGCACCTACGTATATACACATACAAGCACATATATACGTTTATATACACATGTTCATACACACGTATACCTATATACATGTACATACAACTATACATATATGAATGCGTCGTTTTCTTGTTCAGCAATCGCGAGGTTTCTAAACAGCATAGACAAAGTGTCTGCGCTTATTCTAATTTGCTGTCCTGAAGTGGGATCCCTCACCTCACTTCGTTTAAGGGAAATTCTTCGACATTCTCTTCCTGTCAATCTTGGTGTTAGGGCTTGCACTGATAGCCCTATCAAAGGCGTCCTTTTATCTCTAGAATTTCTTCAAGTTCATATGGAAAGCTTGGATTACATGCTCGTAATTTTTTGACCTTGTACCATTTGCAACGAAATTGGTAAAAAACGCGTTGGTTGAAAGTAAACATGCAGTCTAAAACGTTAGTTATTAGAGAAAAATTAATGCTCATGACAAATGAAAGCGTTGACGAGAACATTAAATCCATCTGCTGCTGTGCTATCGAATGTCCTGAAGTGCGGTTCTCTAAATCAAAAACGCCATTTGGTGGGCAGCATCTTTCTCTTTGTACCAGTTTGACAATGTTGCGCTGAATATTTTTAGCATATATGGTCAAATGCTTAGAGATTAGAATGCTTGTGTGCGTTCCAAGTGCAGTTCGCCACTGTAGTTTCTCCAGATTCAACGAGATCGAAATGGTCCTGCGATGTTAGGCTGCATTGCACGTGGTGGTTGGTTTGAGCTCGCGCCTTGGGCCAAGCAAGTCCTTCCCTCTTTAATGTCAGAAAATTGGTGTCATAATTTACCAGAAGTATAAAATAACTGATTTCATACCTTGGTAGGGCAGCTTAGACAATGTTTCAGTCAAATATCGTCAGCTATTTTAGCAATTTTTAACAAATTCAAATGTTCAACGCATTCATAAAGAAGTGCTCAATGCCGGAAGCGCCATGCCTTATTTTTTTACACAAAGAATGCGAATGTCAATTTAGCACAGCACCACTCTACTGAACCTAGCGGTGCTTTACGGCGAAATCACGTTTGGGCTGAATTTAGCTCTTTACTTTACACAAGATGACGTAACCTCGTCACTAGCTGGCTGGTAATCGCTCATTAACACTCTCGCAACGACGCTCAACCCCGAGTTTGTCGAGGAGCCGACGGCACCTAATTTTCAGCCTTTGCGGATTTGCTGGATTTTGAAAACAAAAAATAATAACTAGCTGAGAGACAGGCGAAACAAAGGACCCACATGGTGTGGTGGTGAACACGTTGACCGACGGAAAGGGTAATAGCGCGTTCGTTCCCTACCGCATACACGGCGGTCCAGAGTTTTCTAAATAACTCAGCATCATTGGGACTGTATCACACATAGCACCCTGGTGTAAAAAATTGTAATAGGCAGTAAATAAAGACTTGACATAAAGGAACATTTTTTGGGAGCTTAACGACTTCCTAGCTTGTTAACATCAATAGATCGTAGCAAAACGTTTCTCAATCCTTCTATTTGCAATTTATATTTATTGTGCTATTTGCTGTACATAAGCATGGTACTTCTTACAAACACTTTGCTGCCTGCACTTCGAAATATTTTAGAGCTATGGCTGACCGTCTATGTCAGATCTTTTTATACCCACACACTATGCGATATTTACCACTCATTACAGCATTTACAACTGAAATAATAGGTTAAAGATAAAGTTCTCGACGTTGACCAATCCCAAGGGCACCATGCATTCGACTTCATTAAGTATCGTTGGAGGTGACTGAATGCATATCTGGCCTTTACAATGACTCGCAGTGGCCTACCGATATATCCAGGCAGTGCTACTATTCCCCCAGACAAGTCTGGTACCAATATGCCGACTCCGGGGAGATAGAAAGCTTGGTCAATCTGGGGCCTGTGAATCGATCCCACTTGTGTATTCCAGGGCGCCTCCAACCATTACGCCACACTCTCCAAAAAGAATTAAAACGGTGGTCGATATTTAATAGTCAATTGTATATCAGTCATAGTAGTCACAATGGTTGATAGCAAATTTCTATGCACAGAATAGAGTTTTTCATAACACCGTTCATTGCAAAACCTGTGTTCTACAAGCCATTAATTCATAGCAAAAAGTGTGGGAAAACAATGTCAACTTTTTCTTTCCTGCCTATTACGCTTTTTTACGACAGCGTGTGATGTGAAATGCAACCACCTAGACGTTTGCAAAACGTGGAACCCTGGCCAGGTCGAACGTGCGATAACCCTTTCCGGGCTCATGTAATGCCCACTTCACCACTAATGGCCTTGCTTTGTCTTTCTTTCAATTAGGCCAGTTGTCCAAGTTTTGCATATATCTCAGAAATGGTTGTAGGAAAACAGTTTAGGTACTAAAAAATTCAATCATTTCTATACTTGTCTCACCAGCCAAACCCACGAAACCATTATGAAACCTTATGGTGTCACTCCTCGCGAGAGAGCTAAGGAAGATCAATAGACTTATTTCATCGAAACAAAAACAGACCCAAGTAGTTCTACAAATGAAAAACAGAGGTTGTCTTTCGGTGCCTCAAAACGCTTTTTTAAAAACTCGGTTTGCTTACTACTGGTGGTTTCATGATGTCCGCCGATATTGATTTAACAGTAAGTGTTGACAAAGTATATCAGTGTTCACAAGTGTTGATAAATATTATTCACCAGTTCATCGACGTTATTTTAGACTGCACAATTATTCGATGTCCTAGTGGTGAAAGAGGCTCTCCAGGGTCTAATGGAATACCAGCTGAATATGGGAAACCAGGAATAGACGGTCATCCTGGTATTGACGGCTTGTTTTTAGTGGAAAAAATTGTGTGCCCTCCTTGTGCACCGGGACCACCTGGAGACGATGGCCTTCAAGGCGAGCAAGGTAATAATGTACAACACAAATTATAAACACACTGGCTCTAGATTCGTCAGTGAGAAGGAAAAGTTTGTTTAATAGGACAGCAGTGATAAATGATTACGACAAGAACATTGATTATACCGCACTTTATAAGTATGGCAGCAAGTTCGTCTTCAAATATCAACCAAGCTCGTAATTTTTCTGGTTTAGCAAAATGGTGATAGGAAAACTCTTTCTAATGCTCTAGATTCAACATTTAAATTCCAATGGTTACATGCGACAAGAACCTGGGTGCACCACAGTAAAGTGGTTCTAAGATTCCTCTAAGTAACACGGTCGAAACCTTTCTGCGGCGTTCATGAAAAGACATGATCCCCAAATCGCAGCGGAACACACGCACGCACTCCTCTCTCTGCTCTCTTCCCGTGCACACGTTGGTTGCTGTTCGAAACATGTTTCTCACAAACGTTCTTTTCTTGTGAGGGGAGTGAAAAGAGAGGTAATGTACCAGAATGTTTTTGCTACTTGGCTTTCGGTACCACTTCGTAATGTAGCTATTTTCCGATAGGTAATATCTTAATTCTGAAAATTTTATGTAGTTAACGAAGATCTTTCCATATACTGATAGGGGCATAGTGGTTGCCCATGGCTTCATGGCTGCTTCTATCTCACCTGAGTCAAAAGCTTTCCTTAAATACATAAAAGTGAGACAGAGCTGTCTCTTGTATTTTTACGACTCTTCAGCGATTCCTGTTATGGCACGAATGTGGTCCATCGTAGTAAACCCTTTTCGAAGCCATGTTTGCTCCTATTGCTGCCCAACGTGTAGTTTTCTGCCCATTTTGTTTAGAACGATCCGAATGAAAAGTTTACAGGTCGCAGACAGTAAGCAAAATGGTCAATAGTTGCCGATATCGTAAAGGTCATCCTTCTTGAAGAACAGCACGCACTTGCTGAACTTCCACTGAGTAGGAACCTTGTATTCTATCCGGTAACCTGTGAAAAGGCGAGCCGTTGTGCTGATCAAGATAGGCGAAAAGTTATTTAGATGTTAACGTCTTATATTGTCTGGTTGAGGTTTTTTCAATTTTTCACCACGAAATAACGCGTCAAATTTCGGAGAGAAGAATAGCGGAGGAAAAGTCGCTCTCCTTTATTTAATATAAGGGAAGATGGACGTGGCTTCACATAGCATCCTGGTGTGAAAAAGGCAGTAAATAAAAGATGAAAATTGTAGACGATTTACCAAATTGCCTTTTGGGAACTTAGAACTCTTTCGCCTTTTCGTCGGGGTGCAATTCCTAGTCTTGTGGTTGGTGAAATTTCTGCAGGCTTTGCGAATGGTCTTCCCAACCTGTACAGCTAGCTCTACTGTTCACTTTTCAAGATCTCCTTTTATTGCTTGTCTTCACTGTTTTGAAATTTCGGACGCAGGCTGAGCGCTACTTGTGGCTCTTAGGATTCCTCGTTGGCGTATGTGCTGGAATGCTTCTGCAGGTGGATGTCACTTGGTGACTTTCGAACTTTCAGCTCCCATAGTGCTAACGTGAATGAGTCAATCGTATCTCTCTCTCTCTGATGTTACTGTGAGCAGCAATTATTCAACAGCCGACCAACCAAATGGGTAAATCGGGTTAATGATAGTTTTTACAACTTCGTTTATTGAATATAGCAGGTTTCTCTTCTTTTGGCGACCAATGAAATCACTGCGGAAGGAGAGTACCATCTAATCCCGCTTAGATTTTTAAGATTTTATCGACATCGTTCAGGAAAATTCTTCAATTTACTACGATATTTTTCCTTATGGTAATCTCCACACGGATCTCCCTCATACGAGGGACCTCGAGCCGGTTAGTGGCGATGCTATGTGGCACGTCCCTAGGTGGCAGATAGGGGGTTAATCGAAGACCAAAAGCGACCTTTGCTTCTCTGAGACGCAAGTGGATCCAGGGGATGGACTTCTTGTTTCTGCTGCGCCGATTCGGCACATAGTTTCTGTATTTGCTAAGCGGGCTCATGCATGCATGTGTGGGTGCGTTCTTGCTTATGCGGATTGTATTCTACGAGCCAATTCGGCCAAAAGCCTGCAATCAAGTGACAGGGAAGTATATAGGAGGCGGATAGCAGTCACTTCCAATAAATAAGCTTTATGGGCAAACTGGGAGAGCCTGGCAAGCTACCCGTGAGTATACCCAGCCCCAGTTCACAGCCCAGCAAGCTATACGTGGGTATAAAAATGCTAAGCACAGAAAAAGAAGCGAGCCTCATTCCTCTGACCCTGCAAGAACCTCCAATTTCGCAGCGTTGGTTAGGACGAGTACCGAGAGGATGTTAAAATCTAAGTGCCAATGGAAGCTGGCTGGATCGCGAAGAACTAAGGTAACGATCTCTACGTACAACGCCCGTACACATAAATCCGAGCCCTCGATAAAGACTTGATCATGCAAGCATCACTTGAAGAATAAAGTACGACGTCATCGGCCTGGCGGAGACGAGGAGACGCCAGCCTTTCAACGCCGTCTATGACACCGGAGAAGAAAGTTCCTCGGAACATGCGACAGTAGAGGAGTCGGCGGCGTCGACGTTCTCGTCAACACGAGTTTGACCATGAACATCGATTCATTCGAACAACTTACAGCCCGAATCGCGCGTTTACGATTAAAAAGACGTGGATCAATTGCAGCCTTGACAATCTTCGTCGTTTACGCGCCGACATCAAAATATGACGAAGAAGAAGTCGAAGCGTTCTGTACGGACTTGGAGAAGTTCTACAGAGAAGACCACACATTCTTCAAGGTCATCATTGGAGATTTCAATGCAAAGATTCGACCAAGAAGAACGTCTGAAGAACGTCACATTGGCACCCACGGATTAGAATGGAACGAACAGGGTGGGCGGTTGTCTGAGTTTATCATGGCGACCAGGACAATCCATGGTAACTCGCAATTCCAGAAGCCCCACCCTCAGCGCTGGACGTGGGAGTCTCCCAATGGAGAGTACCAAAACGAAATAGACCACATTATAGTAAATAGGTTTTGCCTAACCGATGTCGCTGTTGCACCAAAATTCTACACGGGATCAAACCATCGTCTCCCTCGTGCAAGATTCTATTTCTCGCGGAAAAGAGAAAAAGCCGTTAAATTCGAAAACCGAAGTCCGAGAACCACCACAAACTGGGACTTATTCAATTTATTAGTCGGCTGTTGGGAAAATGCCGTTGTCGATAACATCGACGAGGAATACGATCGGCTCATTAAACATCTTCACGTTAGCGCTATGTAAGCTCAGAGTTCGAAAGTCACCAAGAGACGTCTGTCTCCAGAAACACTCGAGCTGATACGTCAGCGTGGAATCGCACGAGCTGCAGCAACCGCGAACTAACGTCCGAGCTTGCAAAACAATGCAGACAGGCGATAAAAGAAGTTAAAGAGAAAAGAGCAGCAGTAATAGCCGAAGCTGCAGAGGCTGGAAAAAGGATTCGCAAAGCCCACCGAAGCATCGCCAAGTACAGGACCAAAATGATTGCATTCCGGCGCCCAGACGGAAGAGTTACAGCGTCCAGAAAGGCAATGGAGAAAATCATTCACGAATACTACTCGGATCCTTCGATAGCCACGTCCACCTTCCATCATATGAAATAAAGGAGGTTAGATATGTTGTACCACTGGTTCTCCCTTCCGAAATCCGACATGCTATTTCGCCGGTGAGAAATTGAACAGCACCAGGTCCGAACAGGATAAGATCTGAACACGTGAAGAAGCTTCCACCAGTCCTCGTAAATACATTGGGTTGGCTCTTCACGCGTTACCTGTCTGAATGCAAGGTCTCTACTCAGTGGAAGACCAGGAAGACCGTGTTATTGTTCAAGAAGTGTGACCTGCACGATATCGGCTACCATCGCCCAATCTGCTTACTGTCTGTCGTCTACAAACTTTTCACTCGAGACGTTCTAAACAGGATTCACAAAACACTAGATAAAGGACAGCCATGTGAGCAAGCAGGGTTTCGAAAAGGATTTAGAACGATGGACCACATCCACACGGTAACACGACTCATTGAAGTATTGCGAGAGTACAAAAGACCGTTCTATCGCACTTTCATCGATTTGCAGAAGGCCTTTGATTCGGTTGAGATAGAAGCAGTCTTGGAAGCCCTTGATAGTCAAGCAGTCCGTTCTCAGTACATAAAGATTCCTCGTGTGCTGTACAAAAATTTCACAAGCAAGTTATCATCATTCTACAACGATATTAGTATTGTCGTCAAAAGAGGAGTTAGGCAAGGTCATACCATCTCGCCAAAATTATTTACCGCCACCCACCAGAACGTCATGCGAACATTGGAATGGGATAATATGGGAGTGAAAATCGACAGTCGGCAGTTACACCATCTTCGCTTTGCTGATGACATCGTCCTTATAACACGAAACATTAACCAGGCGGAACGTATGCTTGGCGAGTTTGATAAAGCCTGTGGAAAGATTGGTCTTCGACTAAATCTGTCAAAAACGTTGTTCATGAAGAACGGATTGGTTTCGCATGCCCCATTCACGCTCAACGGAACGTATATCTCTATGTATCGTATATAACACACCCACGCTCGCATACACGAGTGCTTTCTCCTTAGCGCAGAAATCGTGTGCCAATTCGACACAGCAGAAACACGAATTCCGTCTCTTGGATCACTTGCCTCCTAGGGAAGCATAAGATCGGCTTTAGTCCCAAGTTGCTTCGTGATTAACCGTCATAAAATCCCTCTATGAAGGATGTTCGTGGACTTTAACCGTATTTTTTAAAACCTATTTCTTGTTCAGTTTACCAAGATGCCATTTTTTCAAGTAATTTCATAGGTTGGAGGTGGTTGAATGCATATCTGGCTTTTACAATAACTCGCGGTGGCCTACCGATGCACCGAGCCAGTACTGCTATCCTCCCAGACAAGTCTGGCACCAATTTGCCGACCCCGGAGGGATGGAAGTCTTGATGGGCCATGGGCGCAGAGATCAACTCCACGTCTGTGTTGCAGAAAACCTATTATGACCAGAAAATTTTAGATTTTCGAGGAATTGTGCTCGCCCATGGTGTGGGCACTATAGACAGTTGCAAATCATCTAGTAGTCGAAAGCGCTGCTCACAGTGACAAATCTGAATTCTTCGTGAACATGTGCTACAAATTTTCGTTCTTTGATTAACGCATTTTTGTGCTCTTTTAATCAACGGAGATCTATAAGTTTCGTCTACACTGGATATATTACTCAGTTTACAAATAATCCTCCCAACGGTTTGCCGCGTCATCGTGGTCTGGAGGTGTTCCTGGGTGTCGGGCTGCGATGTATAGCCGGGATTTCATTCTCCTGGCAGCGTCTCCCAAGCTGAGAAGTAGTCCGGCGTTTCCATCAAGAAGCAGATGTAAGAGTAAACCAATATCGGGATCCACAACCGTCCTGGTATTAAAGTCGTGTGGTGGAAAATCTCTCTCTGATCCATCAACGCCATCAGCAATTGCTGATGGCGCTGATCGACAGAACTAACTGAGATACAGGCGAAACGAAGGACCTGCATGGTGTGGTGGTGAACGCGTTACTCCCCGGAAAGGACAATAGCGCGTTCACTTCCCACCTTAAACACCTGCGGTGCAGAGTTTTGCAGATATCTCAGCAACATTGTGGCTGTATTTCGCTTAGCACCCTGCCGTGAAAATTGTAGTAGGCCGAAAACAAAAAGCAAAACATTCTTTCTCTGATCCACAGGGCTGCGACTGCCTGTGTTGGTGAAGACCTGGGGCAGACTTTGGCCAGGCTAAGCTCGTGATTCCAGAGAACTACAATGGCTCAATCAGCAGATCTTCGAAAAATGAAGGTTTCGCTGGGGTCCATGCAACCATTGAGACGGATCCAAGTAGCAAGTATACAAACAATGCGAGACGTGTTCATGTTTATGCTCTAATTTCTACCTACCGTTTTTTTTCTACCGTTTTTTCATGTCACTGACTACCTACCAAGTTTGTTACCAGGTTAATAAATTCTTTTACAGTTGAGCTACAACTAGTTTATGTTAATGTGATTGCTTTCCACTGTATTTTTCAACAATTCATGCATATTTCTTCGTCTTCCGCAATAAATACATCTACCCTTTTTATGAGATTCTCTCTGACTACATGAATCCCTCAAGTGAGTTCTTCAGTGCATAAAGAATCAGGGGTAAAGCGTTCGGCGTTGATTCATCATTTAGGAATGAGCGTTGTATTCAGCTTCGTCGGACATCGTTTGAAGAGATTTTGATCAAAGTTTGGTGAATATAATGGCTTGCGGTGGCCTAGACCAATCTGGCACCAATTTGGTAACCCTAGAAAGAGTGAGTTCTTAGTGACCCTGTGGTCGAAGCAACAACAACAACAACGTGTGCATTGCAAAACTTGTGTTGCCACTACATTACATGTGCCCCCAAAGGCGTATTTTCAAAGATACGAAGACTTCACAGTAACATGTAACCATAAACGATTAGCGCAGAGTTTGAAGAAAAATACCATCATGCACCCGTTGCTTTTGTCGTTTTATTACTGCTTATTACAGGAGAACAAGGTAAACCTGGAAAACCTGGGCTGCCTGGACAGGACGGTTCTAGTGAACCCGGTGGCGTTGGAGCGCATGGAAACAGAGGCCAGAGTGGACGACCAGGAAAAAAGGGTGTATCTGGAGAACAAGGAGAGGACGCGGTTCAACTGATTGGTGTGCCTGGTCCCAAAGGTCGGCGAGGTTTGCCTGGCATCTCTGGTTCTCGTGGAGACCCAGGTCTTAACGGCATTCCAGCTCCTCCAAGTAATTTTTAAAGGATCTGTTGCTTATTTACTCTCAAATGCTGGACTATCGTTGGTGTTTAGTAGCTAGAAGAAAATAGAGAAAAAACTTTGAAAAATTAATATTGTGCGAAGTGTGGAGATTTCGTCTTCTACATACAGTTTCCTTGGCACCAAGGTACTTGTTATACTAAGAGGTAGAAACATTTCCAACGCTGAAATTTTCAACAGCTTTATTGAAATGCGGCTTTGGTTCAGAATGTAATTAGTATCATTACCACACTATCATTTGAAATAATTCTAAGGAATAAGTGCTTCTAGCTCTTCCTACCTGCTGCCAGGAGTCTTGGCGGTTCTGAAGCTGTAGTTTCTAATGGATTGGTGTTGACGATAATCGTAGAGAGCAAAGTTTGGAAAACATGCTCTGCTGTGCTGACTAGTCACCAATTTTAAACCTTATCCTACACTTCATCACTGCCAGTGAACGAAGTTTTTCAAGTAGGAATAGTCATTGCTTTGGTACTATTTTTTTCAATGATATCTGCAGCCCTTTAAAATTTAGCAATATATTGCCCACAGTTGCAGCACTACTGGCAGGTGTCGGTAAAAGTTCTTTTCAAAAATTCTATGAAGAGCGAAGAAAAAACTTTCGAGGTGTAATAGCCTCGCTTCAACTGATTTGGTGGCAGCTCTTCTACTAAACTAACTCTAATTCACAAACTCTGACATGACCTACTTTATAATACTTGAGGAAGAATCCATATAGAGAGAGTAATGGACAATCAGAATTGTTCTATGTGGTTGCCGATATGTTCATGGATCAAAACCCATTTAGTACAAGGACATGTCCATTTTTCCTTCACAGTTTTTATAAGTAACGTTAAATGCGTTCCAAACCACTGTTCTAAGACCGATCCCAAGAATTAATGGACAGTTTTGAAACCGGGTTCCAAAATAGTGCAATTAAGTGCAAACACAGCCTTATTAACCACGATGCAAGCTAACGGAATGAACAAATTTTATGAACGTTCTACACGTTTATTTGTCCCCATAAATGAAACCTATAGCGCTAAAACCGTGAAATCCTCGAAAGTATATTTCGCTATCGCGTGTTCCTAGAAAGCAGGAATATCTTGCCATGCGTGTAGAAACGGCGGTTGACGAGTTAGTAAATTAGAGAGGTTGAAATAAATTTTTGTAGCACTTTTGGTCCAACTTATAAAGCTTCTATTGTGCTAAAGATGGTCTGTTAATACGCAGGAAGACAAGACATTGCTTTGGATCATTGACAATTATGAACGTGTGAATTTATTTGCTTGATTTGTTGGCAAAATCGGTTAGCAGTTATAGTGGATTCGGTTCGCGAAAGCCGAAACATTCACGCAATCATTAAACTAGATTTGTTGCTTCGAGTATATCACTTCAACCAGTTTGAAATAATGACAATCGAAGTATTAAAAATTTTTAATTAAAATTCATGGTTATCGTGATGTCCTGTGAATCTATGTATGAAGGTCTTCGATGTTCACTCGACAGTCACATTTTTGCAGGGCTGGAAGGGCCGCCAGGGCGCTCGGGAGAGCCTGGAGATTGTGGTGATTACGGACCTCGTGGAAACACTGGAAGGAGAGGTCCTCCAGGAGACGACGGTGGATACTGTCAATGCCCTTCTAGAGACGGTGTGAATTAATCTTAATTCAAATCTTATTCTTTATTGGTGTAATAAAAAAATAAGATCAGAGCGTGCGACGAAAATTTTCTGTGGAGCCATTTAGACAGTCTTCCAAAAATCTCTTATACTTGTTATATTTTACTACATTGGTCATACTTAATGGAGTTCCTTCAATTTGATCTTCGTGAACATAACAAAATTGCTGAATTACCAAGAGGATTATAGATTCACGGTCACGAATTTCGCTAGAATTTCTCGTTTTCAGTCCTTTTGATGTTGCAGCTTCTCGTCTGTCTTCAAATCGCTTTAACGAGTCCACTTGAAAAGCTAACAGCTTACAGAAAATTAGACCATTCATAGGTTTCTGTGAGAAAGTAAATTACATCTAGCAACTTATTTCAGACTTTTTACCGCTTTTGGAAAATCTCTTATTTGACATTGTTAAACTGAGCCAGAAAAGGGTTAAAGAAATTAAACATACGACAAGAAAACTGCGAAGAAAGAGGAAAGTAATGGACGTACAATTTTAAGGTTCTGGCGTGGAGACTGGGAGTGGTACGCAAAGCTTTCCTTCCACGCAATATAGTTATGAACTCGGAAATAGGAAAAGCATTCCTTTGCAAGTCCGTCGTAATGGGAGACGTGAACGTGAACAACACAGAAAGCGAAATCAATTCCGCTTAGTGAGACCACAAGGCAAAGAGGAATGGTATAGCCGCCTAATTAGGAAATCAGGTTAGTAATTCAGAAAACTGTTAAAATTCGAGATATTTAGGAGTTTGCTGAACAACTCAGCAACAGAGTACAGAGAATTCAAAGAGGGAAGCGCGCAGAAAGTGGGTTTTTGATTCCGTGTATACAAAACAGTACCGGGCACGAGACTATTAACCTCTTCGGTTAACTTGTGATATCCGGTTTAAATTATTCACTGTATTTTTAAAATTATTATTAAAGTTAATCACATTGCAAGACTTGCAAATATAAGTGTTTAAAGTTGGGCGAACGTCTTATGAGACGAACGCTTAACATTTCAAATCATCGCATCCAGACACGATACGAAATTCCCAAAGTTCTTATTTATGCAGACGAAATGATTCAAAGGCAGATTTCCTAACAGATGACACATCTACACCGCTAAGTGCTCATTTTTCACGGATGAGTCCTCATTGTCGAACAATGTTGTAGAGCAACATTACTAACATTTAAGCAACATTTAAGATTACTCAAGATTACTTTATTGTAAAGAATGGCCAGCCATGGTCTATGATGAACATTTCATAACATTCTTTTATACGTTCCTGGGACTCAAGGTAAAAATTTTCCCAGTTCTCAATAAACCGGCATGATACAAAATCTGTTAGGAAAGAAACTTGTGGAGATAGAACATTAAGACATATAAGTAAGTGAGATGTGTCCATTACATCTTGTCCGTGTATCACTGCAAGGTCGCTTTTAAAGCACTATCAGTTTTTTATTTATCGCCTATGATTGTTTTTCACGGCAAGATATGATGTGAAATGCAACCAGTATGATGCTAAGATATTTGCAAAACTTGAATTTCAGGCCAGCTCGAACCGCGATTACTCTTTCCGGGGTCTCACGTGTTACGCACAGCAGAAAGGTACCAAACTGAGTGAGAGAAAAGCAGAATGAGAGCCTCAGTTGTTTCATGTATAACCGTGAACTCACCGAAAGAGGTTATCGCCGTTTGACTTGCGTGCTGTCGAATTTTTGCGAATATCTCAGCATCATAGTGGTTGTATTTCACTTTCAAAATAGTTACTGAGTCTGACCTAAATAACTATTTATACGATTAAAATTCCAATTTTCTATAAAACTCGGTTTTAATAATTAGCATATTTAATTGTTACAATCAGCAATAGTTAGATTCGCGAATCATTAAGTTAATCACTATTTATTTAAATATATATTAACTACAAGTAATTATTAATTATGTAATATATCATAATTTATTATTGGCTGCATATTAATTAACTATTATATAATTAATGAGTTTATAACTAGTTTACTATCATTATTTATAATGAATCTCCCAATGGTTTACCTCCTCATCGTGGCTGAAAGGTGTTCCTGGGTGTGGGGCTGCAATGTGCAACGGTGGGTTTCATTCCCCCGCAAGGTTTCCGAAGCTGTGAAGGAGCCCGGCGTTTCCACCAGGAAGCCTTGGTAAGAGTAAACCAATACCAGGATCCACGGCCATATTGCATCAAGCTACTCGTATCATGGCAAGTTTCCCTCTGATCCACAAGGGCTGCGACTGCCTGTGATGGCGACGATCTGGAGCAGACTTTGGCTTGGCAGACCATGAGAGTCCAGACAACTACAGTAGCTGAACCAGAAGAACTCCGAAAGAATGGAGGTTGTGCTGAGACCTGTAGATGCCCCTTACGTACGTCCAGTGAAGACGGGCCAACCAAGTATCCAAGGTGGTCATTATTACGAACTGCCCTTGTTGAGCTACTCTTCTCACACTTTTCTTGTTTCTCTTTTCTAACAAAATTCCAATCCTTAGTACTCAACCAGCAAGTTCCTATTTGATATCGAGACTTACTCTAACATGTTTATTCAGCCAAACATTTGTTCTTCTTTTAACAACCCTCTGTAAGCTCAGCAATGTAAAGAAATGTTGATTATTATAGTACCGAGGTTGAATGACGGTCGTTTTCATAACCTACTCAAAGCTTATATTTTCATCCTACTCTGTAAACGTAATTAGCAACGGCAATCTTGGTTTTATTCTAAAGATTTTACGTTAGCCTAAAAATCTATCACAGAAAATAGTTTAATAGAAACATTTCAGCGAGTTGATCAACATCGTGATCAGGAGAGGACGACAACTAAGAGCAGAGATTCCATCGAATTCGAACTTCGCGCACGATTTTGATAATTGTTCACCAGCGTCAAACTGTTTTTCAGCTACCAACTATAATATTCATTCGAATTCTAGGGTGAATTCCTTAGTGAATTTAAAATTCTACAGTTGATGTTTATTGATAACACATCGTCTCAACATAACCGACCTAAAGTAGTTCATTCGGAGAAAGTTTTTATAAGCGTGGCTCCCTGAGCGTCTTGGAAACGATTAGTCGACCAATCACTCTACTGCATCTACCGCGATGTAATGGGCCAAAATCGACTTCGAAGATGAAGTGAAATTGCATTGGTGTTGTGTGTCTATCTTGTATCAGCAATTACTTAACAATGCTGTGGATCACATATTTGATAAACACCCACCAAATCACTACACAAGCTTAATCGGTACAAAGACTGTCCAGGTTGGGTTTTAATGTTTCGATTTTTATGTCGTGTTAGCATCTGTGAACTAAGGATTTCATTCGCTCTCTATTGATTGGTGGTCGGCTCTCGGAGAGTGAAAGTGTAGGAACCACTTTTCGATTGACGTTTCTTTTAGTTTATGAAGTAAACAAAATAGTTGGTTTCCAACTAATCCTCGTACGGTCAATCCCACTATATCTACGAGGTGAGTAAATTGGCGTCAGACTTCTCTTGTAGGATAAAGGGGTTAAGTTGTTATTCAGCATGATAGGCTACTGCAAGACACTGTGTAGCTTGGACAAGCTTTCAGTCAGCTCTGTGAAAGTGAATCAATTCGAATGCATGATGCTTCCCCTCAAGGGTTAACAAACGCCGAAGGTGGCTTCATTCTTTGCCGAACAGTTCATGAGGGATTGCGACAGTAATGTCAGACTCCATTCAATAGTCATTTTCTCACACTGAAAAGTAAAGTAGGGGTTGTTGCGTATTTGGTAGCATTGATAAATTTCCATTCTAGCCAAAATTCACTGGAATATTTCACCTAATGTCACGAGTTTGTCCATATGGGCATTTTGCAACAACATTTGACAACCATTTTCGATTTTCAAAAAGCTAACATAGGAAAGGGAACATTTTCGAATTCTACAATTTTAGTATATTGAATGATGCGCCCAATGCCACGATCCACCACCGTCCTGATATCTCAAAGCTGCATATTAGCAAATCTCCCTCTGAGCCACAAGGGCTGCGACTGCCTGTGGTCGTGAAGACCTGGGGCAGACTTTGACCAGGCTGACCTCGGGATTCCAGGGAACCACAATGGGTTAACCAGCAAATCGTCGAAAAATTGAGATTATGTTGGGGCCGGCACAATCAGTGCGGACCGACCAATCAAGTGTCAAGTAAGTAAGTAAAGGATGCGTCATACCACTGACACTTATGACGTACGTGATATCATCGGTTCTAAAAGCCACAATTTAAGCGATTTCTTTCTCCGAAGTGGAGTTTCCATTGTTCCATCATAGCTGAATCATAACCTTGCGTATCCCGAACTTCCAAGTCTAAACATATTTAAAATGTTTCTTTCTGGCAAAAGAATTGTTAAGAATGTAGTTTTTTCAAGGAAGCAATTCTGGTTTGCTGCCACATTCTAATTCACAGTTTGTAAATGAGGCTTTATTTCTTGCTGATTACAATGCACGCCATTCTTAATGACAGTTTTCGCGTCATATTCTGATACTAGTCATATTATTTCGTGTCGCTTCGTGTTTCATTTACGGCTTTCCTATGAAGCTAGGAAGCAAAGCAAATTCAGATAAAATTGCCACGACCGACTTTCTATTAACCTCGGCATTGATCAAGTGATTTTCTTCGTGTTTTTGTTGAGCAAACGCGAGGTGTTACTATTCTTTGTTCACGATTAACCTGACGTTTCGGCGGATTTCGCCTTCTTCAGAGCCGCTTTCTATGAGGTTTCCACTGAGTATGTCACGTAGAGACCAACCGCACAGAAATCACGTGGAAGTATAATGTCGGAATCCGCCGAAACGTCAGCTTAATCGTGAACAAAGAATAGTAACACCTCGCGTTTGCTCAACAAAAATACGAAGAAAATCAGATAAAATTTTTGCACGAACTCGTAGTTAACAGTTGTGCTCCCACTTAATGTTAACTACGTCTGGCCCAAGAAGAGGCTTAACGTATAATGTTGTTTGTGAGAA